GCCAGGCGATTCTCAGATACTGGGGCCCAGAGACGGGCTGCGCTGGGCGGTGTCACTAAATCCTGTGATACAGGCTCTTGTCTGAATTACAAGCCAGTTACAGCTGACAGCCACCCTTTCCTACCGACTCCCATATCCCCGCCTCAGGGTGAGTCCATAATTCACCATCACTTCTGGAAAGGGAACATTCTGCAACCAACACACGAGCTTGCTTTCAGTTGCTTCCTGCTTTTTCTCAGGGGTCTGCCCCCTGGAAGTGTGGCTTGCTGCCTTGGGCCCAGGGGCAGGAACCCCTTTCCCTCTCCCAGGATACAGACACTCCTTAATACGGTGAGTGAATGTGACCACAGTACCCGGCTGGCCGAGAGCCCAGTCCGAGGAGGTGAGATCTCAGCAAGTCACCCCACCTTCCAGAGACCCCTCCCGACCCTCCACTTGCACTTCATTGCTGTTCACCCCTCATCCCATGGCCCTTTGCATGCTTCCCTTCCACACTGATCACTAGATCCATCCACTGAGCCCCTGAGGACCAGGAGCGTTGAGGGTCCTCTCTGCAAAGACACCGAGCTTGGTGTTTAACTATACAGGCTCTAGGGAAACGCAAGTCAAAACCACAAAGAGGGCTTCCCTGGTGGCACAGTGGTTGAGAGTCCGCCTGCCGATGCGGGGGACACGGGTTCATGCCCCAGTCCGGGAAGATCCCACGTGCCGTGGAGCGTCTGGGCCCCGTGAGCCATGGCCGCTGAGCCTGCGCGTCCGGAGCCTGTGTTCCGCAACGGGAGAGGCCATAACGGTGAGAGGCCCACGTACCGCCAAAAAACAAAACAAAACAAAACAAAACGCAGAGATCACCGCACACCTGTTAGAATGGCTACTATCAAAAGAACAGAAGACAACCAGGGTTGGCGAGAAAAAATGGAACCCTTCTGCACTGTTGGTGGGAATGTAAAATGTGCTTTTTAAAAGTACAGGCTCTAGGATCAGACCACTGGGTTGCTTTCATCACATATGCTGTGTGACTTGTGCAAGTAACTTAGACTCTCTGAGCTTCTTTTACCTCATCAGAAAAACTTGACCAAGGACAATGATGCCCACTCATAGGGTGGCGGAAAGAAAAACAGAGCAACGCTTGTAAAGCCCTTAATTTGTAGTGTACTTAGCACAGAGTATTGGACACATTTGAGTTTATAACTACTGTTACTATTCCCAGCATCGAACAGTGTCAGACACACAAGCAGGTACTGTATACATGTTTGTTGAATGAATGAAGGAAGGAAGGAATGACCTTGTTCAAATGGCCTAATTGCTCTGTGCTCAGTTTCCACATCTATAAAATGGGGATAATAATGGTAGTTATTGTGAGTTTTGGCTATGTTAATATATATGTAAAGAACTCAGGTCAGGCCCCGGCACATAGCAAGTATTAGGTAAATATTAGCTACCATTATGATTAGCGGTAATCACAACAACCCCTTTTCATACTGCCTGCCCTGTCCCTCGTCCCTCGATAGTTTCTTTTGGGGTGGCTGACACAGGGAGGTGTAGTGCTGGGCCCAGCTCGGTGAAGGGCTATGGAAGAAGGGAGTCCTGAATGTTCGATGCCTCGCTGGCAGAGGACCTGGAACGGGGCGTCCTGGAGATGTGAGTTCTCTCTGCACTGGCCCTGAGCTGGGTGACCTGTTCTCATCTCAAACTGTGTGCAAATACCTGATCCCCTGCAGCCTGGCGCCTCAACATAAGGTTTAGCACTTAAGAGTTCCCAGTTCCTCCTGGTTCCTCCCACCTCCTCTTGGTCTCTTCCAGTTGTAGCCACCTTCCAGACTCACCAGGACCCTCCTCCTGGCAAAGCCATCCCTGACTGTTCCAGCCCAGGCCCTCCCCCTTCTCGGAACTCCTCCAATACCTGTATCCTGAAGAATAGAATAGAACACCTGGGCCCAGACCACCACATATGATGGTCCAGGTGTTTTATGAAACTCAAGCCTCTCTCCCATCTAAGGTTTAGGTTTGTGAGTCAGGGATCTCGGCTTTTGCTTCTTCGGAGTGTCCCAGAGCACCCAGGGTTCTGGGCCCCAAAGCAACCAGCTGCTTGTCTTATATCTGGACTGTAAATGCCACAAGGACAAGATCTTCTGTTCAATTCCCTACAACGTTTACGCAAGGCTGGTTGGACTCCAAAGCTCACCAGTACTTCTGGGTGGAAGATTGCAATGCCTGTCTCCCTGGCTTCTGAGCCAGCCAGCCGAGCCAGGGGAACATCTGGAATCTTTCTGACTCAAGATTTGCAGGGATGTCCGGCAGGTCACTCTAACTGGCAGTTCTCGTCCAACCCTGCAGATGGAGGGGAAGGAGGTACAGGAGGAGGCCACTCGGAAAGTTCTTTGTCTTACTAATTATGTGATAGGCAGACTTCACTAAAGCCTGGATTAAGGCTCTAAGTCTACCTATTTCATTTTGCTGATTCCATCGCTGCCAAACAGCCTCTTTATCACTAACTTAGTTTCCCAAGCATAGTGTTACCTAGATGCAAAATAGGCACATTTAGAGCATCGGAGTATTTTCTGATCCAAAGCGCACCGGCTGCGGGGTTTGCAGGGATCTCCTGCTTTTTGAAAGTTCGAATTTCACCACTTCACTTTTATGAAAGACCTGCATTAGTACCTGCTTTCGCCACCTGCAAGGAATCTGAAGGGGATTTTTGCGTTTATGAAAAGTGAAAATAGCAATTTATCCAGCATCTGTTCTGCCCTTATAGAGGCAGCGTACCCCAAGCAGTGAGAGAGACCCTGCAAAACTCCTTCCTGGGAGCCACACTCAGCATGCCAGCATCAAGCCACCAGAGCTTTGAACTGTGTCTGTGAGCATCTGTGCTTCTCCTCTGGCTGTTCCGTGCATCCATTAGCAAGATGTGTCCTAAAGTGATTGCTTCTCCACTTTACGATGTTTCAGCTTACGGAAGGTTTCATAGGGACGCCCTACTTTAGGATAGCTGGGGAAACCTGTATTTAAAACACACCAGGCTGTCTCCTTCGCTGACCATTTCCCCTCCTTCTCAAAGTGGAAAGGCAACAACTTAGGAATGGAGCACGTGTGTGCTTTGGGTGCCAGTTCGTTGGTGTGGGTGCTTGAAGGAGCCAGCTAAGCCGTGGGGACGGTCTTGAAGCCCGAAGCAGGCAAGAGGCACTGTCCTCCTCTGTTCACTACTGTCCTCTGTTCAGCTCTTCGTCTTTTCCGCCTCCCCCAGCACAATGGTCATCACCAGAATGGCTGTGGGGCTGGGTCCCACCTAAGATTTCCCAGGTCTTGCATATTCAGACCAGTTGGACTTATAAGACTGGGATAGGAAGGAGGTGGGAACCCAGCAAAAGGACCAGGAGGAGGGGCTACCCACTTGCTCTTTGCTCCCATCCTTCAGGGCTCACTTTACAGGTGTCCTCATCCTGGGAACCTCCTCTGACTTTTCCTGAATTTGGGACGCCACTCCCAAAGCCCTCTGTGCTGGCCCTCACCCCGCACTCCTCGCGTTTCCTGCAAGCTCTGTGGGGGCAGGGTCCTGTCTGTCTTGCTTGCTATTGTTTCCCAGTGCCTAGTGCAGGGCTTGGCACATAGTAGGCACCCAATAAATATTTGCTAGGGTTACTTTTGGTGATAGTGCCATTAGAATTGGAAAAAAAGCCTCAGCCCTCATCAACACCAGCAATCTTTTTTTTTTTTTTTGCGGTACGCAGGCCTCTCACTGTTGTGGCCTCTCCCGTTGCGGAGCACAGGCTCCAGACGCGCAGGCTCAGCGGCCATGGCTCACGGGGCCCAGCCGCTCCGCGGCATGTGGGATCCTCCCGGACCGGGGCATGAACCCCTGTCCCCTGCATCAGCAGGCAGACTCTCAACCACTGCGCCACCAGGAAAGCCCCAGCAATCTTATTTTAATAAGAAAGCAGAGGCCCAGGAAAATGAGGACTCTGCCGCAAGTCCTACAAGAGGCTGAGGAAGGGTCAAAGGTAAGACTTCTCACTCCAAGTCCAACACGTTCCCCCATCATCCCACCCCTCCCAGTCACTGCCAGCCAGCCCAGCTCTCCTGCCAGTCTAGGCTGAGGAAGCACAGCTACAGAAACGTCTGCACCCATGATAAAGAGAGAACCTATGGGAAAGTGTGATGCGAAAGCAACCTTCATCTGTCACTAACGTCTTTCCTCCTGCTGCCAGGCAGAGTGGCAGGTGGGGCTGCTGTTCTGAGATTCCCTTGGGAGAGCTGGAAACAGAGGCAGAGCCCTGGAGCTCCAGAGCCCTTGGTAGCACGCCGTCCCCATAGGAATGGCCAGGGGCACCCTGTCCCCTCTCTTTGCATTCCCTACAGTTCTAGCCTTTGACACCTGGCATGAGAAATGTATACTGATGTTTCTTCCTTGTGAATTTGAGCTAAAGGCAGGGAGCAAGATGGTGATTTAGCAATTAGCTGGATCATATTTTGATTTGATAAAGGCCATTACCGGCAGCTGGCTAAATTTAACTCACGCAGGATAGGAAGGAAAGGGGTGTCTGTGTGTGGATTAAGGTGGGTGGGTGGATGAGAAAAGTCTGGGGTTCCATCCCCCCAACTCATTTCACAGCCCCAGAACCTTCAGATTGTAATTTTAATGAAACTTTCAGTACACAGATCACCATTCTTTCCCTCCCTCGTAGAGGTTCCTGACTCAGTCTTTGGTCAGGAGTGGTCCGGGAAATGTCTGCTTTCCGATGGGGTCTCTAGATGGGAGATTTCCAGGAACTCAGGCCTGAACTGTTCCTAGCAAGGATTCACTCTCAGCACTGTTTTTGTCCCAGAATGTCAAAGCCGGTTATCCTTTCCAGACTTCTCCCCAGCAAGACAGAGAGGGAAGGAAAATGGCCAGAGGCTGTCCAGGCTGTCGTGCTCCTTCGCCCAGGAGATGTCGTCGGGCATGGGTCTCTAGAACCAGGGAACAAAAGAAGGCAAAGGCAGGGCCCGGCCTAGAAGGAGGCTCAGAAAAAGAGCGGGGATGCCGCCACCTCGGTGGGAGTGGGCCAGACGGGAGCCAAGAGGTCAGATTCGGAGGTCGGGTGGGCGGCGCCGCCGTGGATGCGCTGGTGTCGCGCCAGGTGGGTCTTGCGGCTGAAGCTCTTGCCGCACTGAGGGCAGGAGAAGGGGCGGGAACCCGTGTGGACGGCCTGGTGGCGGACCAGGTTGGTTTTGGAGCTGAAGCTGCGGGCGCACACGGCACAGGCGTGGGGCCGACTGCCTGTGTGCACCGCCTGGTGGCGGCCCAGGTGCGACTTGCGGCTGAAGCGGCGGCCGCACTGCGCGCAGGCGAAGGGCCTGGCGCCGCTGTGGGCCCTGGAGTGGGCCACCAGGTTGGGCCGCGAGCCGAAGCGGCGGCCGCCCCGCG